AGAGAGAGAGAGAGAGAGAGAGAGAGAGAGAGAGAGAGAGAGAGAGAGATAAACCCCTGAAATCCCACAAACTACACTTTCTTATAACTGAAACAGACATATGAAACCTTAAAAAGCAGCTACACAATGACATCAACACAAAAACATTCCAACATGTCTGACTGTCCAGCTGTTTACAACCCAGAGGAATAATTGCAGTMAGTGAAAGTGAAAGCTGTCCAACACCGACCTAAAGCCTCCACTTTCAGGCTGAAATGTGTTGAAAGTTACCCAGAGTTTCCTAGAAGGAGGATTTTCAGAGTAACAGGAGGTTTTCCTTCACTCATGTTCACGGAAGCTGAGCTCAGATTCGCTCCTTACAGCTGTTGATGATGCCTTCAGGTGCTCCTCGGAAATCACCCGCTTTCATCACAGAAAAAAACAACTCATGGTGCACATTAAAATGGGCAAGGCATTAAAGTCTCATTTTAGGGAGCTGTTCTTTATAAACGTTAGTAAAAATTATTAATTTACGAGTTGTAGGCAGTTCTTTAAATGATAGACTGCCATAATCAAAGTGGATTGTCTTAAAAATTAGTATCCAAAATATCATAGCAGTTTATGCACGCTGTTATTTTTGACCTTTATCCCATTAACTTGACATAACATGGTTACTAAAGTAGGTTTTTATAGATTTTGTTTGTTTGTTTGCCAAAAATAACAGAAACAGCTCTATTTCTGCTGAATTAATCGTTAAACTCGCAGCAGTGAAAAAGAGTTTAATTTATACTATTGCTTGCACGATTAAATTTAGAAAATTGGACATGTTTTAAGACAGTAAAACCCAGAGTTTCAACCTGGGCCAAATCAACGAGCTCATATAGTATGAGCTAAAATATAAAAATTTAGTTGGACTTTTTAAATTTTTATTCTTCAGCAGTTCAACTTGACCCGCTTGTCGGACGGTCAGTAAAGCTTTTGTTTTGAGTTGGACACTTGTTTAACCGACACTATTGAACGCATCATTTGGCTGCGCACCTGACTCGCAGCTGACCTSAGAACACTTTTTTTAACGTTGCATGTTATTTTTATAAATTTTTTATCCGTAAAGCAGGAAGGGATTCGTTGTTTTTTATATTTAGTTTGACCAACAAAGATTATTTCCAGTGTATTTTCCTTCAAACAGATGCAGAGATGAATGTGTTGGAAACACTTCCTGTTTGTCACCACCAGAGGGCAGCAGACTTTCAGATGGGACTCCTCCTCAGGTGTCCCTCTGCCGCTGCTCCTCGCTTTCAGGTGAACGTGACGCTAAAACATTCAGTGACACTTAAAACACGAGCAAAAGAAGAATAGATTAATAAGTTTTCATTTTATTTAAATAGGAACAAAATGAACCTAACAAGACAATGTAATTTTGGCTAAATAACTTTTTATTTCAATGAAACAGAAGCACAGAAACTCCTGCCTGTTGATGTTGGAATGAACCAAATAAGCTACATTTATTTTTATTATAATAAGCTGCATTTAATGCTAATATAAAACCAAGATCATCCTTGTGTTGAGAAATTACAGAGCTGTAACTTTGGTCAAATCTTCTAAAACAACATTGTGTAATGTCATAAAATAAGATGTCTCACTCATAGTACGTGTTAATAACCCTCAATTATAATCACATCAACATGTAGCTCAGTATTTTTAAAACTGTTTACTTTTAGCTGTAATTTGAAATTATCCTGAACATCATCAAATCTAATTTTAGGAGCAGAAATTACACAGTTTATAAGAAGTGATTGTAAAGTAACGTGAATTTACTTCATCACAGTTTGAGATTGGAGAGGTGTGCTGAGGAGGAATCTGTCACCTTTCATGCAGAAGTCTCCCTCTGAGGTCCTGGAGTTATACTCCAGATGTTTGGGGCAAACTTTGTAAAAGTCGTGCGCTCTCATGCAAGAGCTGTTAGTGCTCAGACTTCRTGTTCTGGATGACTTTCAGCCATGGCAGCCATCTTGAATGTGAGTCATTCTAGTTAACCAGTTGTAGTTCAGTTTAATGGTTGTTTTCTTAAACTTTTGTCAAAAATTATCCATTGGTTTGTGAGATACAGCGGGTAAAATAAGTATTGAGCATGTCAACATTTTTCTCAGTAAATATATTACTAGAGGNCTTGTTTAACCGACACTATTGAACGCATCATTTGGCTGCGCACCTGACTCGCAGCTGACCTGAGAACACTTTTTTTAACGTTGCATGTTATTTTTATAAATTTTTTATCCGTAAAGCAGGAAGGGATTCGTTGTTTTTTATATTTAGTTTGACCAACAAAGATTATT